TTCAATGTGAACTGCTCTTTCTAGTTCACTCATCCTTATCGACATCTGTTCATTTTGTTCTCCTAAACTGCCCACTATGTTGTTTAAGGCTTCCTCTAGTGCAGCCCCGTTATCCATGAGTGGCGTCACTAGTGGTGGTGTAACCCTGTCGGTCCCAGGTAACTTCGTGCTTGTCGAGATCCGGGCCTTGACTCTCTGCTTCAACGTCTTTTCATTATTTAATTCAGGATCCATTAACGCGTTGCCAAGCCCTCTGGTTCTACTCTCTCCAGGTTGTGGCTCCGAACTTGTCCTAATCGCGAAGTCCTTTGACTGGCCCGGTGTGTTTGCCTCTTTGCTTATCGTTGTCACTACACCAAATTTATCCATGGTTTCAGTCTCTCTTCCGACGTGTGCCTCACTCTCCTGGATCGAACTATTGAGGCTGACTTGAGATCCAAAGTCCCCTTGCTCCTCTTCATCCTCTTCCTCCTGGGACTCACCATCGTTTCCTGCTCCTCCTCCCATGCTGAATGGAAAGATGTTTCCGAAGGTGTTCTTCATTCTTTCTGAGAACGATGATGAGGTTGTTTGTTTTCCAGTTCCGCTTGCCATCATAGTGTTGTCTGTCGGAGATCTTCTAGTTGCCGTTACTTCAGTTGAGATGTCGGACAGTTCCGACATCTCCTCTCGATCCAATGTCCCGGTGGAAGTGGCAAAATCATGGCCTTGTTCTACCGGAGTAGATTCACTCGCCAGCCTTCTGCCTCTCCCTTCCAGTCCATTTACTCCCTGGTTGTCGTTCATGGTATGGTCCGTATTGACCTCCACTTCTAACAGTTCTCTTCGCTCTTCTGAGGTCTTCTGACTTCTCGTTTCAACCATTCTGCCTGAAACCGTCTCCTCTTTATCGGACCGGGTTCGCTTGATCCAATCCACAAAAGGATCGGTCATCGTTTTTCTTTGCTTTTCAGGTATGAATTTCCTAGAGCTATTACCTCGTTTTGGTATCCTTGACTTGTCTAAACTCATTCTTTATTTGTCACTTTCCTATGCCCACTCTTGACTCAATTGCTAGAGACCTTATAGTTTTATTAACAATAATAATGACACAACACAATAAATTTCACCAGATCCTACTAAATAGTGACCACGAATCCCTGTATGTTGTCAGAGTACAGTTTGTATAAAATTTATTCACACTGACCGATTATCGGTCCAAAGATCTGGAAACTAGCACAATATGATGTTATCAGTCAATTTTAAAAGATAGTGTACTCACTACCCAATCAAGCACAGTTTAGGTTGATTTAAAATAAAAAAAAAACAAAAAAATATATATATTGACACAATATGAATGTATATATAAAAAAACGTATGTGTCTTGTACTCTTAGTCGGTCGCAGTACAATAGTCGAACCTGTCTTTTAAAGAAAAAGCTTTCCCTGCTTGGTGCTGCACCAAACAGACAAAACTTTGAAGGCAGTAATTTTCTCAAGTGGGCGTCTATTGCACCCACCGAGTACTGTGTTACCTATTCTGCCTTCGGACTGCCCGAGCTAGACCTACTAAAATCCTCAGGGCAGTCACTTTTCCCAAAAACGTATTATGTTTATATCCACACCAATGAGTCACGCTCTTTTTAATTTAGACTTAGTGTCGCGGATATCCGAGTTCGGACCTGTTTTGTATTAGTCTGGTTCTTTTTGAAAGGCAAGTTACCAGTGCAGTCACTGATACCTAGCCTGTGTATTAATAACCTAATACCTCTCGCTTTTTAGTCTTTCTTTCGTTTACCTAAGTCCTTAATAAATAATACCCCTCCGGATTGGCACAAATAGGACCCTTCCGGACTGTCAGAATATAGACCCCTCAGGATTGGGACCCCTCCGAGTTAGTTAATAGTAGACCCCTCCGGATTTGGACCCCTCCGAATTAGCAACTATAAGACCCCTCCGGATTCGGACCCCTCCGGTTTTGTGGAAAGTAGACCCCTCCGGATTCGGACCCCTCTGACTTTGAAAAATTTCGACCCCTCCGGATTGGGAGCCCTTAGCTCTGTCAAAGTAGCTTTTCGTAGTTTTCTTAATCTCAGCTTATACCCCTCCGGATACGTTCTGCGTTGATTTTATGCTGTTTGAATTAACTGGGAAGGGTATAGGGTCCTTTCCTAGACCCCTCCGGATTGAAGTTAAGGCACTTATTTGACAATTCACACTAACGGTGAAGGGTCTTATCACTTGCCTAATTTCGACTCTATTATGGTTGTCTTGTGCCTTCAGCCCTCCCTTTTTGTCTAGAACTGTCCTAAGTTACTTAGTTCAATCGCTATCAACTTTTGGTAGGGGTATAAGGGTTTTTCAGAAAAATTTATAAAACGTGAAGGGTGTACCCCTCCGGATTTGTGTAATTTGCTAAAAACAATCTCAAAAATTTTCTCGCTTACTTTTCCAAAAAAAATTTCTAACCCTATCAGTAAGCTCAGCTAATTTCTGATCTATTGGTACCAAGATCAACTCAATATGCTCAGTAGTTCCAAAGTTATTAACTAAAACGTCTTTCTTCCAAACTCAAAAATTTTCTCTCTTATAGGTTCCGCCTAACTTTTTCCGCAAATCTGGTCCTTTCGACCTAAAAATTATTGATCTGAGCTCAGAAGGCCTATACTCTTCTAGTTCAATGCAAAAGACCCGATCTAAAACGCTTTTGTAGAAAAAATTTGCGAAAAACAATGCTACCTGGACCCCTCCGGATTGATGAATCCACCAAATCAAACACGTTATGTTCGATTTCTCTGCAACCCGGAAGGCTTTCGGGTAGCGGGTTTTAAAACTCGTAGATTCACTAGTGGACGTTGTCCGAACAACTATTTTTGCTGTCCTAACTCAAAGATTTCAAAAAATTTTCTGATTTTATAGTGTTTCTTACTATCAAAAAATGGGAAAATTTGGTTTTTTGTACCAAACTAGTTCCAACCACTTCCGAACTAAAGTTAACCGGTTCTACTTATTACAGTAGTGCAGTTTCGACCCCTCCGGATTGGGAGCCCTTAGCTCTGTCAAAGTAGCTTTTCGTAGTTTTCTTAATCTCAGCTTATACCCCTCCGGATACGTTCTGCGTTGATTTTATGCTGTTTGAATTAACTGATTTTATAGTGGTAACCCTATCAGTAAGCTCAGCTAATTTCTGATCTATTGGTACCAAGATCAACTCAATATGCTCAGTAGTTCCAAAGTTATTAACTAAAACGTCTTTCTTCCAAACTCAAAAATTTTCTCTCTTATAGGTTCCGCCTAACTTTTTCCGCAAATCTGGTCCTTTCGACCTAAAAATTATTGATCTGAGCTCAGAAGGCCTATACTCTTCTAGCTCAATGCAAAAGACCCGATCTAAAACGCTTTTGTAGAAAAAATTTGCGAAAAACAATGCTACCTGGACCCCTCCGGATTGATGAATCCACCAAATCAAACACGTTATGTTCGATTTCTCTGCAACCCGGAAGGCTTTCGGGTAGCGGGTTTTAAAACTCGTATATTCACTAGTGGACGTTGTCCGAACAACTATTTTTGCTGTCCTAACTCAAAGATTTCAAAAAATTTTCTGATTTTATAGTGTTTCTTACTATCAAAAAATAGGAAAATTTGGTTTTTTGTACCAAACTAGTTCCAACCACTTCCGAACTAAAGTTAACCGGTTCTACTTATTACAGTAGTGCAGTTACGATGTAACACACTAACTTAGCGCTTTTTTCCGTTTCAAAAAATATCGATATCTCAAAAATCGCGACTTGTGGGGGGATCAAAATATCGCTATTTTGACCCTAAAAACCGGTCTGTTTTCGTTGTTTTTCACTGAAAAACGATATAAGACTATTAATATAGGCTATATAAATAATAATATTAGTAATACTATACCCCTCCGGGTCTGTTTATTATCCGAATTAAGGTGCTTAACTCGGATATTCGCAGTTCGGTGAAGGGAAACTACAGTGCAGCACTGTCGAGCCCCCCACAGATTACTATCTTACTTTTTGTACCAAAAGGGATACAAAACTTGTTAACGATACCCAACAGTCGATTGTTGTTGTCGTTGAGCCCCTTCTTGTTGCTCCTTGTACTGCTTGCCGGATCGGTCTTCACCCAGGACCCTTCCGAATTGAGCGCAAATCAGCTGACCCTTCCGGATTGAGCGCAATTTATCATTAACGTGCTTAAATGCTCAAATAACCCTACAGTACAAGCCTCACAAACGGGCTACAAAACTGATCGTAACAATCCTGACTGATATGAATGCCTGTAATTACAATATATCTATCAACAACAAACGGGGGGGTTGAATCACATCTTGTCTGGGGGGATGATTTCTACTGATTTTTTACTTTTTTACTGTTTTTGGTTTTTTCGGTTATTTTTTATGTTTTTTGTTTTTCTTGGGTACTATACTATTTTTTGTTTGGTTTTGCTTATATCTTTAAGTGTTTTTGGTCACAAACCACTCAGGGGATGAGGGGTTCATGATTCCCCCCACCCTTCCTGGTTCGTGAATTTTCGGTCTTAACTAGGTTAAAAAACTATTCACGGTAATCCGGAAGGCTTCCGCGTTCCGAACTACCCTTCCGCCCCCGCAGTTTAGGCCTATTAAGGGCGTTAATGTGAGCATCCGCTCGGCGCGGAGTGCTCGTTAACGGTTCCGCCGGTCATGATGTTATGAAAGAATAACACCCAGGAGCGCCATAAAAACATACATGTAACATTCGCCCGGAAGATACATATCGACGGATAACAAAACAAAGTCTTAAGACGACTGGCTAGCGTCTAAACAGAGCTTTGCATGTTTTTCACCGTCTCTACCAATCCAGTACTTTTCGGTGGTCTTTCTTACATCGGGTCGACAAAAACGTTACTGTCCTCCGGCTTCGACCAGAACGCTCAAATTAACTGAATTACATGCAAAAATAGTGAGCTCATGGCTGGGTCTCAGTATCCCCAGACCACGAGGTCACTCCTAAAAACAGGGCTACTACTTATTAAATTACTATTGTTTTTGTTCAGTAGATAAAAATCATCATCTCCATCGAAGATGGATCAACCCTTCCCCCCCCCCCCAACTCTTAGCACCTCATCCTTGTCAAAACTAATCCAAATATCAATTAAATTCAAGTCAGGACATGACAGGATGCTAAAAGTTCATATGAGTTAATAAAAGTTTCCGTCCCGAGACCCTTCCGGATTCTTGAATCCAGTGAATCAAGCTCCTTGAGTTCGAATTCACGATAACACGGAAGGCTGGTTTCTTACCCTTCACCGTTGTTCGCAACGGCCTTGCAACTATTGTAGCAGCACAATAGTTGCAACTCGGAACGTTCTCTGCACTCTGCTGCTGTTTTTCTTCAATTTCGACTTCTTCAATTTCGATAAAGTTGTTCTCGTCAGCGCAACTAATGTTGTTGTTGTGTTTTTTCACTCGTTTTTGTTAAAAATGGCCGTTTCAGCATTTCTCAGAAATGTGACGTCATCATTCGAATTTTTGAAATTTTAAAATACTAGAATATTCCAGCCTTCACCGTTTGGCTAAACGTTCCAATAACGCCCTTAGTTCTTAAAAACCACCAATCCGGAAGGCTTACTGCTAAAATTCCGAATTCTGCAGAGATTGCATTTTTCACATTCTGGTCGAATGTCACACATTTCGACACTGGAACCTCCGTCAACCTTTACAGAAATGAAACGGAATTTGCCGGAGAGCAGCTCTCCTGGCAATTCAAGAAATAACGAACAAAGAATCCTCATGGAATCACCTAGAAGAAGAAGAATAAAGGGCTCAGCCAGAGTACCTTTCTTGGGAACGTTGCCCGAAGAAGAATGGGAAGTACATCACCGAGACCACGAAAGTAGGACGGGATGCAGATGGGACAGAGTGGCGTTCATGGAAGAAATCTGGACAGTGGTTCAGAGCTATGGGACCCAGTCCATTTTGAAAACAAGTCTCAACCGACCATTGATGCGGGAAGTCCATGACAAACTTGATGAGAGTGAAGGGAGATTGAGTGAGTTGTTGATTGACTCAGCCACTGATGAAAGTGAGGCGAACTCTCCCATCAAGATGACACCGTAGGATGATAAAAGAGAGGTGGTGTATCTGTCAAGAACCAGGAGGGGAACGATGCGATCGAAATTGGTGATTGATAAGATCAATGAGATAAAGATGAAGTTAGGCACCAAGGTGATGCCGAGGAGAGTAGAAAAGACGAAGGCGGATTCAGAGATATCAATGAAAGCTGTCAATTCAGCGAAACGAAAACGATTCAAAGAAGCCATGGATTTGGGACAAGGTGATTATCAATTATCTCGCACGGACAGAATGTTAACCGATGTAGCGATGGTGCCACCCATTCTCATGGCAGGGATAAAGTCAACAGGTTACAAATCCAAAAGGAGTGACCGCACTCTGACTGGAGCAACCTTAGAATTGGAAATACTTAGCCAATGTGGAGAAAGCACGATGAAAGACTTTAAACCATCTCCCATGAACCACGAAAAGGGAAGTGTCGCAGGACAACTAGTACCAGTGGAATATAACCGACTGACAGTGTCAGAGACTGTGTCAATAGATGAACCTGCCGGTGGATACATGGAGATGTTAGAATACCGAAACTCGGCTAGAGGGTATGTGATGGCCCTGGAAGACGAAAAGGCCATGGAAGGTTATCTGGAGACGATGTTGCGAGGCACCACCCACAAGCAGAAGGCGTATGGAACTTTAGCGTCATCTGAGATGCAGGCGGAGACAATCGAGCAGTTAGTGAGCCTTCCATGGAAAGCAGTGGTGTTGAAGTACTTCGAAGAGGAGATGAGGACTGCGCCGAGAATACACGCTCTCATGGCAGTACCCTACGTGAGAACCGAATTACAGCTGAGGTTCGCCTGGTGCATGATGGGATTAACTCGCGGGGAATATGACTCAGAAGAAAGGAAAAGGTCAAAAGAAGAGAAAGTTTTCCTTATGACGAACCTGAGGGATCTGATAACCCAAGAGGGAGCAGCAGTATTGTGCGCGAAGCGGAGAGACGCTCTCTGTTTCATTCGATTCCTGATAGAGCAGATTTCAGTACCAGCATTGAACACCTGTGCCAAGATGTTGAGGGAGGGCGATGAACGAGCAAAAGCTTTACTCTTGCTAGCACTGCTGGAGATGCATCAAAGCAAGCCGATGAGGGTGAATATGAAAGAACCTGAGGAGTTAGAGCCCACGAGAAAGATAGACGAAATCAGAAAACAAGGAGCTGAGACTCACTAAAGAATCTATGGGGGCACTACCGAAATCCAGTGAGTACTGTGGACCGATCAAGAAGAAGTCGTACAGCTACGTGTCCAGAATCATAGGGATAGCGTACAACCCATTCCTGAGTGAAGACATACGCGATTGCTTCTTCGATTACGAGCAGGCAGTGTTGCTAATATTCTGGCTGTCGAGAATTGTAACAATTAAGAGCGCCAATAATCCACAGACCAAATGGGGACTGGTCTTGGAAGAAGAGGTTACTGCACCTTCCGTACCAAAATCTGACAAAAGAGTGGAGTTTGGGTTGGGATTCTCAGATGAACTACTGAGAACGAGCTTGATGGTAGTGTGGGAACTGATGAGACCACCATGGTGTCCTAGTCCCAATGCTGACTCGATATTACGGGCGACACAAGACGTGCAGAGGGAGCTGAATGCAGATTGTAACCTGCGTGACCTGAACATCATATATAATGTGATGATAACAGCCTCTAGGAGCAACGGGGAAGACAAGGTGGAGTTGCCTGGCTGGGGACCAGAACACTGGGTTAAACCTGGTAGCTATCTAGCAGAAGTCTGTGGACTGGAAGGTCACGTTTGTGGAAGTCTAGATTGCGTGAAAACCTTGGAGAAACAACACAAACAGTTGATAATATTGTTTGGGAACATTGTGATGAAAGCGAGGACGGAAACGGAACTGATCGCAGGTTGCCATGGAGGAACCGAGGTGAATCTAGTGACTGCACTAGGATTCTACAGCATGTTTTGTTCTTTAGAGTCACTATTGATTCTAGAACAGAAACATGAGATGGTCACAGCCATCAGTGTAGAAGTGTTCCCAGGAGTTCTGCAAACTGAGCAAAAGTACATAGGAAAATGGAGTGAAGCGATCGAGACGGAAATGAACATCAGACATAGTGAGTCTTTTTGTAGACCATCAGGAGCACGATATTTGGTGGGATCGACATTGGCTCCGATGTGCAAGAGCAGATACCGGGTGCATTTCGTAGCTGTGGATGTAAAGAGTACGAGAACGATCGTGGATCAAGCCTTCTCAGTGCCAAAGTGTGTGCGATTAACGAGAATGTCCGAAAAATTCTACGAGTTGCTATGTAAAATGTTCTCAGCAGTTCCAGAGAGAACAAAGGAGAAGTTGGAATCGATTCTGGGAAGGAAGTTCATGGGATACGTGAGTGGGAACTTCAGTGACTTTGAAAGACAGAAACAGAGAGGATCAACCGTTACGGATTACAATACAGTAGACGAGAATGATGAAGTCCACCGAGTGATGATGGAAGTGGAACCATTACTGGAAGCTTCGGGAAAACGTAATTGGAGGAGCATCATGTTGACACATGACGAGTTTCCCTGCCACTGCTTGGTGCAGACCTGGTGGTAACCCAAGCGTAGTAATCTGGTGTTGATCTGGGACTCTGGAGAGCTGCTCTCCATGGGTTTACCAGACTCATCACGGCCCTTAACGATAGTGATAGTGGGAGTTATGATGGCGATACGATGGCTGGAGGCTCATGTGAGAGAAAACAATAGACAGGAGACACCGACGAGAGAACAGTTGCAGAAATTGGATTGTCTAAAAGATTTAGATCTTTTTGAGACAATGTGCAAGATTCTAAACATTCCGATGGAAGTGAAAAAGATATGGGCGAGAACACGATTGATGCCATGGTTCAGAGCTAACATGACTGCATGGTTGTATGAATATGCTAAGAAGCATTTGTCGAAGCACGGTGGAGTGTACAGTGAATATCAGCTGGACATTGGAGCAGGAGCTTTCAAGCGAGCTCTCGTGACTCATCGGAATGCAGTGACGACCGCTGTGAAAAGAATTTCCAGGATAAGTGAACGTAGTGGAAAGGAGAAGGCAGAGATGTTGAAGGAAGATTTGGAGAGAAACGTGACGTTGTGTCTCCACAACAGCTTCTGCCGAAATAGAAAATCTAACGTGAATCCCCTACCTTGTTGCAAACAGAGGGTAGAAGAGCAGAAGTGTTGGAGGAATGCTTCCAACAGCGTCAGAAGAGCTAACGATGTGTTGCAAGACACAGAAACTGAAAGTGCAGAGTCAGTGTCACAGGAGGAAGAGATGGAACATGGACAAACGGTCGAAAGAACAAGAGGCAAAAAGAAAAAAAAATTAGAAGAATTTAGAAGTTTTAGAACTTCTAAACGACGAAAAAGAAGAAAACAAAGGAGTGACGAAGAAGACGAAATTAAAACTCAGAATTGTTTTATGTGTGTGAAAAAAAACTCAAGTGAGAAACTAAGCAACCAAGTTGTAATTGAAGACTGAAACATTTAGTTGATCTTTGAACATTAAAGAATTTGTTGCATTCATAAATTTGCATTTTGATTTTAGTTAGTGGCTTTAGAGACACTTACTTACTATTTATTTAGAAAGGCTTGAGTAAAGAGTATATTTAAATATTCCAGCCTGCATGACTGTTTTTATTCAACTAGGAGAACTGATCACTTTGTGGTGATATGAAAGGCTTGGGTAATCTTTCGAAGAGGAAGATTGTTTCATTGTTCTTTCTAACCACAGAGTTTCTTATTTTTAATATTCAGGACAAAAACAAGCAAGATTTCCGAAGGGAAGGAGCATAGTAGGATGATTTTAGCTTGTTGGTTGGCAGGACTGTCCTGCAAACCAACATCTTTTAAAAATCTAGGAGAAAAAGTTTTAATCAGGGCATTGACAATGGAAGTCAGAAAAGATGTTTTTATTTTAGG